ATATTTTAAAAAAGTTTATTAAGTAAACATATTCTTTATATTTTTAAATATATATGTATAAATTTTTGTAATATTTTGTTTATTAGTTATTAAATTATAAATAAAATTAGAAATATAATTTATTCCGGTTTTTTTTGGACCAGACTGTAAATTTGTAATATAATAATAATACAACATATATAGAAATTTAATTGATAATAAGAAATCAATAGGAACACTTTTATTAATAATTGGATTTTTATATTATTATCTTAATTTAAAAATTTAGATAAGATTTTTAATAATATTATTTGGATATAATTTTAATACTTGTTTAATATTTAAATTTATTATAAATTAATATTATTTTGATATTGGTTCAGTATTTTTTGAAACTCTAAACTGAAAATAAAAATTAAATATAATTGTAATATACAAAATATATAGCATATCTGATAAAAACAATATAATATAATATAATAATATAAAATTATAATAACAACAATATACAAGAATATTAGATCTTTTTGATATAAATTTTTTTAAAAAAAGTTTAAAGTTTTCTTGTTTTTAATAATGTTTAAATTATTTGATTTATTGAATAAAATCTAATTATAAAAATTTTTTTTAATGTTTAAGCAGATATAAAACCTTGTATATAATTAATTAAAAGTTAAAAAAGTTGATATTAACTTTTTTTAAAATTATATTATAAATTGTATTTTTTGTATTATTCTTTTTTATTATAAAGTTTAAATCTGTTTTATAATATTTTTGTATATATTTATAAATTTATCTATAGTTTTTTGATAATTAAAATAAAGTTTTTGTTCAAATGTTTTTAAAATTATCAAAAAAAGCTATTTTTAAAATCTTGAGATTTTTGTAAAAAAAGTTAAATAAACTTTTTATTATATTTATAAAAATATATATTAGACTGTATATACGAGGTTTAAATAATTAATTAATTGATAGCTTTATATTTATAAAATAAAAATAGTAAAATAAATTTTTTCAAAAACAAATATTTTATACAACAAAATAATTGAAATAAAAATTTATAAAAAATTTTTTATTTCATTTTCTATCTATATTTTATATAATGTATACTTTAAATGAAAAAAAATTTATAATTGAAATTTTTCTATATAAAAAGATATTAAGAAGTCAATTTTTTAAATTAATTTTTAAATATTAAAAAACATATTTATATCAAGTTTTAAGATTATTTATTAAATTATAAATAAAATTAGTTGACATTTTTTTTTTGACCCATACTGTATATGAATCAATAAAGAAATGGTGTTTAACTGCTTTAAATACTGTATCTATATAAATTATTTGATTTATTTCAAGTCCGAAGCTAATAACGTCATATGTTAAAATAAATCACGCGTGCGAACATCTGGAATGGTAGTCCTATGCTAACGCTTCGGATAATAACGCTTCGGATAATAACGCTTCGAACAATAATATATTATTCATTTGAGGTACGGTATATTGAAAATATTTTAAAATATTACAATTGTTTGTAAAAAGTTAAAACTTATTAAAAATCGAAGAACTTTCTACGTCGTCGTCGTCGTAAATTCCAAAGATGGCAGTTGAAATTGTGTAGTCAAGATACCCGAAAAAAGCACTTAATGCGATTGGTTATTACAAATGATTATAAATGATTGGATAATTTGCTTACGTGTGTTTGGTTCTCTATATGTCAGATGGTTACATTCGAAAAAATTTGTGTACTCAACTTGCATAATTTACTTAAGAACCTCTTCTGCATATACATAATAATTCTCCTTAAGTAATTTCAAAAGTGGAATGAGGGGCTGGAAATTTTTTTCAGAGCGATCTTCCCATTGCAGGGCCACGACGGTAAATTGGGCAGAAAGACATTTTGAATTTCTTCAAGCCAAGTATGTAAGAACAAAGAAAACCTTGGAAATTTCCGAGTAGAGTTGACTGACTAAATCAGTCCAACAATCGTAAATCATCCACCGGATGACACCGACCGTTCGCTTAAGAAATCGGAATTTTACCGGATCGAACGCGCGTGGTCTGATGCACGAATGAAATTAGACGGAAATAGAGTATATATCCGAGAAAGGGTTCTTTCATTTTGAATCATACAATAATAAATACCTGCAATTATGTTTCGACATTACAACAATATTACAC